TTGACGAAGTTGACGGCGGCAGCACCGCTCTCAACCTCGAAGCGGTACTGGTGGGTGTTGAAGGGGGTATCGTCACGCTCTGCAAGTAGGAAGTTAGAGCTAGAATTCAAGAAACTGTTCATTTATTATTGGGTTAAGGCTTACGGTCCCAACCAAGATCGTGGAGAAGAGAGCCAACGGCGTGGAGCTCGAGATCGATCTCAGCCTTGAGGGTGGCGTTGTTGTTCAGGGCAGCAGCGCCGAGCAACCATGTTCGGACAACGTGGTTGTAGAGGTAAGGCTGGAGGGGGATGAAAGCCTTGACGAGCTCGTGAGCATCGCGGACGATCTGGGTGTCGACGACCTCGACACCAGCGATCGTGGTGGTGGGAAGAGTGCCGGCAGGGCACTTCTTGGAGGGCGCGGCAATGGCGGTGCCGGCCACAGCCAGGCTAGAAATGAGACCAGCGGAGAACTTCATCTTGAAAATTAGATATTTAGAACTAAACAACGAATTGTTAAGCAGAAGAGAAACGGCTAAAAGCTTTAAGGAATGAATGAATGTGATGAGAGGGGTGGAGAGAAAAAAAGGGTAGGTGACATTTGAGAGGCGTCGGATAGCTTTATATATCCGATTCGCCTCGAAGCTCAGCTCGACCAATCCTCCCGCATGACTGCCCATCAACCACTCCCGACGCTTGGGTAATCCTTCATTACGTTAGGAAAAGAGCGTCATAGCAGGGTGGTGTGTGGGCAATTCACCCAAAATAGCATCCTTAGTATCTCTTGTGGATGAGGCTGACTGTCTCTCTGTCTACAGATTGTGGAGAGACCGAAGAACAGAGGAGCTTAGTGTAGCTTGGCAAATGCAACTCGCCTGCGATAGGCCGGAATGGCCAATATTGGAGAGTCCCATGCAGTGCACTATGGTAACTAGACCTTGGCTGGGTGAGTGATGGGTATAATCCTGGTTTAGAGCTGAGACATCCACAACATACACGTGTATGCGATGTCTAGGAAATGAAGCCAAGAAAAGCCAAGAAAGCCAAGCTCATCCTACTGGCAAGTGGAGAGAATTGTCGGTATCCCCCTGTTAAAGGTCGACATGAGCCTTACGGTTAGGCTAGTTAGTACTCAGTCATTTATCAAACTTGAAGAAAGATATAGATAATGTTGATATCTCGATCTTCTACTAAATGTATTCTATATTGACTAAAGACGACGTCAATTCTAGATTCGTTTATTAGGTAATTCAAGATCTAGATGACTATCGATCTTGACTTTGAACACAGTATAACTACTATGTAATCTTGATGACAGGGGCCCCTGACAGGAGCCGAAGCCTCCATCGCTAGGTTTACTACCGGGCTGACATAAGATGCCAAGCTCACAAGCCAAAATAGGGTTATAGTCTCGCTGATGGAATTTTCGCGTTTGTATGCGTACGTCGGCGTAGAAGAAAGCAATTAATTATCAGTGTCTACCTAGGTGCATGCTGAGCTCAAGATTTGTCAACAATAGCTGTGTATAGCGATTAAGTTTTGACTATGAGAGAGGCTAGAAATGACGGAGAACGGCCAAGGCGATCTAAAGCTGAATTAGTGCCAGTATTAAAGCGGTAAGATCTTCTCTCTACTATTTTTGACTACAAAACCAAGACTACTTGAACACTATACTAGCGGGCTCGACGGAGTTGAGACATGACCACAGCCTGGCATGTAAGCTGCCAACCTGATGCGCCACAATGATTGTCGTTAACTCCAGTGTTTCTTGTACACTAGTACAGGTAGGTATAAGTCGGTATTGCCTTCTCTGGGACAGCCGACCACACCCCTTTTTATTAGATCTCTGTCTTGCGCTAGGGAATAGTTCCATGTGCATAACCATGCCTAATTTAAATAGGCAAGGGGCGGGCGGGGTTATGAACATGGAGATGCCGGTAGTGTGCTCCTTACAACCTACCTACTGACTTACCAGTAGCCTAGAGTGTATTGAACATATTTTGCGTAAGCACTGAATATCTCGTCTCTTAACTGCACCGGGAGGATTCCTTGCATGCTCAATTCTGCTCGGTGTAAGAGACGCGGAGTCGAGTGTTGCCTGCAGGCCTGCACGGTTAGATTGCATCTCCAAAATTCATCCTGGACGGTGTGCTCTTGTCGTTCTAGACTGTGTAACCATGCTACCCAATTATCATCATCGTGGAAGTCGATTGGTTCGCATAGCACTCTCCCATGTATCCGTGAATCGCGTAAGCATCCATGGCAATTCCCTAAGATATCGCCACTTGCAAATGTGTACCTAGGCAGTCGGACGGATAGAGCCACGGGTGGCGAACGACAAAAACCATGTGGTATGGCGGAAGCCCGGACAGAAGTGAGTCGCTCAATTGACCACACACACGGGTGCGTTTTTGGGTGTATGTGTGTGGTCTATTGACCGACCCACTCTGCCCGGAGTCTTCGCTGTACCGGCAGTCGGACATTACATCGAATGCGGTCGTCGTCTGGGTCGTCTTCGCATCGCCTAGATGGTAATGGTTACCTTAGCAGTGTAGTCATCCTCTCTCGACTTGACACCTGAGTGGACTTGTCTAAAAGCTAGGCGAGTAGTATTAGCAGCCCACATTACGGTGTTCGACATATTTGAGGTTCAATGCGTTAGATTTCGTTCCGTAAGCAAGTCGTAGCTGTGTAGAGGTGTCTCCCCTGATTAGACTGCTCAGTACAGGGTGAACTAGGTACTAGCTAGTGGATGCTGCTAGCTAGGGCGTGTTTGTTGGGCAATCCTTCGTATGTCTCCTTCGGGAAGGACGAAGAGGGCGTTCGGGACGCCCCGCCAAGAGCCAAGCGAGTAAAAGCTGACATGGACAGTCAGCAGCTCATCAGCCAACCCTCCAAGACAACTTGGCCTATGGGTAGTGGAAGATCGTACAGCCAGTCCTTTGGATGCTTCGTACGATATCAAGCACCAATAATTCCGCCAATTGTGCGGTCCTTCTCTTCTTGTATGATAATTGTCGTTGGCTGCGTTTGCTGCATTGGTATTGTCTCTCACAAATAGATTAACCATCCCTAGATGTTGTGAAGCGATGGGGATGCTGACGACTGGTGCTGCGGCAATGATTGATTTCTCCGGCCGGCCCTTATATGTCGCCATCGATAGCCTTGCGTATAATAGGCTGTATGTTCGTCGACACTTATATATAGGTATGTGTGGTGTTAGCTACAGCTTCGACTCGCTGGGGTTCTGTTCAACTGAGTCGATTCCCTCGATGGCCCGTTGTCATTAGCCCAGGAAATTGTCGCTGCAAAGCCCTGTTTGACCTAGTCCTCTGGCATCGAATCACATCAAGTGATCGACGCCCTCTTCCCAGTTATAAGTTGATTCCCGAGGACTTGATCTGGCACTTGGTGTCGTTGAAACGATCCTCTAGGTAAGTGACAACAATCAAATATGGTCTATAATCTAAGCCCTTTCGTTAGCAATCACCCATAGACCCCACCAACAGTCGAGTAATATCGATTACTTGACGAGCCATAAGTATCTATCGTTATAATGGCTCATGTAACCTATGTTCTCCCAACCGGGCTGCCACGCAATGTCCATAAGCTATCGTTCACCATATTCATTGGACGTTGGTGTATACTCCAGTTGATCGATATCGTGTTCGTTCTGCGCGAGTGTCGGTACTCATCAAGTATAGGTGCTATCCTTGAAGCCATGTTCCTCCCCACCGGTAGTACATCGCCTGTTATATGTTCACCAACCCAACTTATCGATCCGTATCGAAGGCGTGGGAGTGTGATGTCTGAATATCGATTGTCCCGCGCAACAGTCCAACGAGAAGCTCCTTGAGATGATGGTAAGTAGGACCGCGGAACCTTATTCATATTGAAAACACTTCTGTAGAATATCCCTCTTCTTCTCAATATTATGTAAAGCCGTCGTCGAGTATATCGAAGGGTTGATTATCATTGGTGATGGTTTTCGTGTGGCACTTTGTATACGATGTCGACTGCTCCCTAAAAGGTGCCTAGGTGATAGGGGTGATTGTATTGCCTTGTTCGTGCTTGTCCTTTAATCGCATGGTTTCGTGACTTATGAGGACTCGTGGGTATATATTTGATGCATCGTCGTTTGGGGAACGTTTAGTATAACTAGTAAATGGTATGTATGCGTATGGTGGTATGTAATAAGGTCAAGTAAGATACACATTTAGTAGCAACAGCTATAGCATTTTGGAGTGAGGTTATACTGAGCAACTAAGATGTTGTAAAGATGGATACTCATCAGTCTTGCTACTTTATATATACATAGTATACAAGAAAAGAAGAGGACGGAGGCGTGGCAGGATTACTCGGTCTTATTTTAGGACAACTGGAATACTTTCGCGATAACATGCCCCATATCCAGTGATGAATGTCCATCAAGGTGGCCATCCAGGTTCGTGAGAGCCATTCTTGGTCTGCGATTTGATTTCATGAAAATGATTGGCCAATGGAGTCAGCCCAAATCTGATGCTGCATCGAAGCGAACCAAACAAAGCGGGATGCCACCCCTGCTGACATATAAAGAAGGCGAACTCAAGGTAAGTATGCCAAATGCGAGCTGTCAGCTGGGTAGATATGTATTACTATGTGCGGATAATCCCGCCCACGCCTTATCACATTGAGACCCGCGAGGTTGAGCTGGCATTATAGAACCAGATCGAATATTACTGAGCGTGGACATGAATATGTATCTCAACTTTAACTACCTACCTACCTAGGTAGGGTTATAGGGTTCTGAGGGCTCCGTACACACTGCTATAAAAGTATCAGCAGCTATTCAGTCCATACAGTAGCAATCCTTAAGTTTAGTTGCCTTAATCTTTTACTCTCATGCTACATGTATACAGAGGTCAAGAAAAAAAAGCTAGAGCTAATCATTGAATAAGAGGATAAGTAAGATAAGAAGAGTGAGCCAAAAAATACAAAAAGGAAGATATTGACGGTTAGAATGACAACGTGACAAAACGATGGACGAACGGGGAATTGAACCCCGGACCCCTCCCAGTCACTAATGTCTGAAGAATCTCAGAGTAGTTATGCGAAGGGAGTATCATACCCCTAGACCATTCGCCCTTGACACAATTGTTTGTCATGTGATTCGGTGAATTAACGCCAAATAAATCTGTAATATATAGATAGAGAAAAGGCTCATCAGCCATGCTTCTCACTAAAGCGAGCTCTAATCCGCACTGTATTTCCCATCAGTTCAACGCCTGATACAGTGCTATGATTGCTGTGTTTCCAAACAGACTACGGTGCCAACTTACCTACAAAAACATTACGGTATTCCTTCTGCACAGCTGCCACGCAACGCCAGCATTGAAGACGCAATAATTTGCAGTGCACATCTCCACCTGCATGCATATCACTTGTTTTGACCCGATATCTCACTTGTTATTGATCAGGTGTTGCTGTCTTGTCGCTTATGAAAAACTCACCGGATGATTTGAATGTAGCCTCTCTTTTATGCAATCCATGCGACCGCCGATGCTGCCTCGATGGCTCCTGAGAGCGGCTCACGGTTAACAGGCCTCTGGTGAGTTTCACTCGACCCCCCTATTCTAATCTCACGATAACATTACAAGACAACCAACTGCTGGGGACAAGGCGACAAGACAAACAACACCGCTGACTGGGTACCAGGTTCTTAGCCTCCTTTTTCTGGCTCTCACATTCTTTGCAAAGGCACACTTTGTCCAGTCAGTAGTTATTTATCTATTAGTTTCTCCGTTGCCTAGAATAAAGCGGCTGACTGCGGTGCTTAGATCAGCCACGTCTCTCGTCCTTCCTACTACTCATTACTTCTGGTTTGGCGGCTTTTGCCACAAGCCTCTTATCAAAATGGCTCCCGGGAGCCGATGGGCGATTTGGTAGGCGCATTCTCTTCTATTGATGTGAACGAGACTAGGAGCTAACGCCTTCAATAGATTCCGATGCTATCTTCAAGTCATCGTCATCATCATTGCCTCCGAGGCCACGTCGGTTCTACATACCTTGTATTGTAGTCTTGGCCATCCTTAGACTCGAGCTTTTTTATAGAGGTTTGCACGATTTTCAATGTGCTGCTGCTGGTGTTGAAGTTAGTATCTCGTCACCAAGCTAGCAAGTCTTGCAACTAAATCTACCAATAGGCATTCTTGCCTGTTTTATTAGTCGCCTACAGGTTTTTCTCATACCGACAACCCCAGGTAGAATCGGACGAGCCCGAAGACATGTGGGGGAGTGTGTTAGATGATTTGAAGACATGGCTCATGGGCTCGCCTGTCACGCTCCTTGTCAGCACCGTTCTCCTCAGCTACGGAACATCTCTGGCCAGCAACTCGGCAAATCGATCAACATATTTCTGTTCTTCTCGAGCAGATAGCAGGTCATTCGTGGTATTTACCCAGTGGGCCGGCCTTTTCGCGGACGCAATTATCATCATCCTTTTATGGAGAGTGCTCTCCTGGGCGCGAACAACTAGAAGTCGACTGCGGACCCTGGGTAGCATTTTGTTAACCACAGCATTTTCAACATGCATTCCGTTAATACTGATACAGACTTCACGACATGGTGAAGTGGTCGGACACCCATCTCTTGGAGGCATTAACCCTCTCTACATTTTCGATACTTTGAGCACCGGCATAGCCGTAGGTATTCTAGTTATATCCGGGTGCCTGATGTCATGCGAAACATCACCCCACGAACCCATCACTATTGCCACCTTTGCGGCTGGAATTGTGTCTGGTGTCGGCAAAACGCTACTTGTTGGTACATACCAACAAACATCCGCATCGCCGCCGCTACTCATATTAGGGACAATCTCACTCGGCTTTATCATTTTCACATATGCGAACAATATGCGCTCAGTAGTGTTTATAAGACGCGTGGTCCTCTTGTTGTTCTTATTCAGTATAATAGTTTCTTCGACCACATATGTCATCCTCACACAAAAGCTGTTTACTCGCCATCCCGTTGATGATCTTGTCTACAAGAACAGAGTAGAAGCAGACAGATGGTTGCGCCATGCAACAGTTAGCACAACTCTAAAGCTTGCAGTAAAGGAATATGGAGAAAGGCACCACGGGCGTAAGCCTCCGCAAAATTTTGACAAATGGTTTGAGTTCGCTCGGCAGAAAAAATCGGTCGTTATCGACAGGTTTGATCGGATAGAGAAAGATATCTTACCGTTCTGGGGTCTGCGGCCGCAGAATATCCGAGATGGTCTTGGCTTCCTGAAGGGCGAGCCGAATATTGGTATCATCAGCATTGCTGATGGCAAAGTGGCTCACAATGCCCCGTCTGACCCTGCGCAACAAGAAATACTAGACGAGATTGTGACTCTGATCTCTGCATTTGTGGAACATCTCCCGGCAATGGAGATTGCTATCAACTTACAAGAACGGCCGAGGGTTCTAGTTCCTTGGAATGAAATACATAAATTGCGAGCAATAGCTACCCAACCCGGCTTCCAGCTGATCTCAGGCAGGCTCGGTAAACGCAATGATTCAGATAGCTCGGGAGAGACGAATATCAGATTCAACAAGCGAGCAGGACCAACATATCCAGCCCAGCCCTATATTGCGGCGCATCAATTTCGACAGCTTGAAGCTATCGCCTGCCCTCCCGGATCACCAAGTCGCGGCGGGGTCAATTGGGATGTAAGAGACCTGTGTGCCTCGTGCTCCCTACCACACAGCAAGGAGCAGTTCCCTCAAGATTGGGAAATGGCGCTTGACCCGTGTCATCAGCCAGACGTCTTCAATCTTCATGAGTTCCACACTATCCCCCACGAATTTGAGCTCTACCAGACTTTATTGCCTCTCTTTAGTGGGTCAAAGACAGCTGGTTTCAACGATCTGTTAATCCCATTCTCACGAGGCGGGTCGAAGCAAGATTTCGACGGCAAAACCTTTAATCAAAAGCAAGACCTTGTTCTGTGGCAAGGAGACGTTAACGACATACCGACGGCCACCCACGAGCTGCTTCATAGTAGCCATCGATTACGTTTGGTTCACCTCATTCAGAACGCCACATCCACGGACACCATCCCCATGTTGTTGGGAATAGGAGCGGGCCAAAACAGCAGGTTTCGGTACGAGGATGTGCCTACCTCCGAGGGCAATAGTATCTTGCCTTTGCGAATTTCGTTGGCAGGGCCGTCGGAGGGTTGCCAGGACGCTAATTGTGAGCTCGTACGGGACGAGTTTGGATTGGAGCCGCCAATGACCGAGGTAGACAGTCGTTACGTGATGTTGCTTGACACTAGCAACGGGCCACCACCGAACCTACTGCAGGTCCTACGGTCCAACAGCGTGCCTGTTCTCTCTTCTATATTCCAGCAATGGTTTACGGAGCGGCTCATGCCCTGGGTGCATTTCATCCCCATCGACACAAGATATCACGCCTTGCATAGCACGATGTCCTACTTCATTGGCTTGGATGGTCGCGGTACGCTCAATGGACGAAAACAGATCACACCAGCGCGAGCAGAGGACGCGAAATGGATCGCTCAGCAAGGCCGCAAATGGGCCGAAAAAGCAATGAGGAAAGAAGATATGGAAGTGTATTTATTCCGGCTGCTATTGGAATGGGGACGGGTCATTGACGATAATCGGGACGACATAGGCTTCGTATTAAAATGATGGGGCAACTCAAAAATTGTACGGCTAGGCATTTTATGTAAGACCAATCCATGATGTATTATTTAGCTGGCTGAATTACTTCGTTGTTTTTATACCTACAAGAGATGTAGGTAGTTTTGACGTTCTCATCGGAGAAAAGTACCTAGGTACGTACCTAAGTGGCATGCATAGGTCTTGTGCTTTATATGCATATATCGTACCCAACCAACTATTATGTATGTGACGATGCGTGACGTAGGCTGCCGTAATAGGTAGGTACCTCTAGGTATCTCTTATGAGTGAGGCTGTGGTGCTTCGGTGCTTCAGCGCTTCCCCAGCACCATCAACCAACCAACCTTCATTGCTTGATCCATAGATTAGCCCATCAGATATCCATGTGGTTCTCTATGAAAGCAGGATAAAATTGCAGTTATTCTTTTTCGTCTTTTTCTTCTTCTCACGAAGACACAACCATCAACCCCAATCGCCACACAGCCGAAGAATAAATAGCACAGGCACGCTACGGCCGGCTTCCGGACCTCGCGCGCAATGGCCGTCATCGACCAGGATAACTTCTCTAACATCTCGTGGCAATCCGACACCGATAATGCCGGGGGGGCCGCCCGATCAAGCGCTTCCCTGCCGAACATAGACGCCGAGCCTCCAACCAGCGAGGACCAGCATCATGGCCAAGATCTCCAGCGCCAGGATCCCGGCCTGTCCGGCGACATTCTCGAGTGCAGTGTCTCGGAGCCGCGCAAGGAGAGCGACGGCACCAAGGACGCCTTCGTATCCTATCTAATCACTACAAATGTGCGTATGTGCCGTGGGTGCGTGTGAGGCAGGAGAATAGTAGTAGAGCAACAGACCAGCCGCGGTCAACACGGAATCATCCCACCTCACCACTTAACTGACTACTACCATACTAACCTTGCATCCACACAGTCAACATTCCCTTCCTTCCAGAAACCGACCTTCACCTCCCGCCGACGCTTTACCGACTTTCTATTTCTTTCCAAGACCCTGTCCAAGGACTACCCCGCGTGCGCCGTCCCCCCGCTGCCCGACAAACAGCGCATGGAGTACGTCCGGGGGGATCGATTTGGGCCCGACTTCACAAACCGCCGGGCATACTCACTCCAGCGCTTCCTGACGCGCATAACACTCCACCCGATTCTACGGCGGGCCCCTATTCTTCACACTTTCCTTGAGTCCCCTGACTGGAATGCCACCATGAAGTCTCGCGCCGGCAGGACAAGCATTGCTTCCGACCAAGGGACTGGTGGTGTGTTTGACAACTTTGCTGATACCTTCATCAATGCCTTCACAAAGGTGCACAAACATGATAAACGGTTTATTGAAGTGCGGGAGAAGAGCGACAAGCTAGACGAGGACCTTGCCCAGGTGGAGAAGGTCGTGGCCCGTGTTGTACGGCGTGAAACCGATTTAGAGATAGACCTACGAGACCTG